AAATAAATGTAATAATAATAAAAATAAATTAAAAGACCAAGGAACAACATAATTAAAAGGAAAGAGACAATTCTAGATGTTTCAATTGCTGATTAAGGATAGGTTTTTCCCACTTAATATGCAATGCCTCTTTGATCTTAATTTGGTATTTTGAAGCGGCAGAATCTAAGATCGTGAAACATTCAGTATCACAAGAGTCAAGACAGGCCCTTGATGATTGCAGGTGCTTGTAAATATGCGAAGTTTTGTCCGACAAGAGGTGCTCACGAACTCGTGTACAAATGTGGCGAGTGGTCTCACCAATATAACTGACATTACAGCCAGCACATGAAAATTTATATATGACACGCGAACGTAGACCTAGCGGTACTGAATCTTTCACACTGAACATGTTTCTGAGTTTAAACGTACTAAAGACTAACTTAATATCTAAATCAGCTCTACAATAACGTTTGAGTAGTTGTCTGAACTTAGTCTGAGCAATGTTCGAAAACCGACCAACATAGGGAAGTTTATAATAGTGCGCAGTAGGTTTACCGGAGTTAGAAGAGGCGTTCTGCCTAGTAGGAGGATTCTTTTTCTTCGCTAGATACCTGTAAATGATTTTGTCTATGACCCAAGATGGAAAACAATTTTTCCGTAGCAAGAAAATAAGTTTCTTGACATCCAGATGAAAACCAACCCAGGAATAATTGTTCTGGTATGCTCTGTCAAACGAAGTTCTGACTAAACCTAATTTGTAAATCAAAGGAGCGAAGCTGAAATAACTCTCCGCGTTAATACTTGATCTATGGTAAAACTTGAACATTTGATCAAGCAAACCCCATTTTAAACGGATACCCGATGATAAGCGAACGCTAGCCAAAGTCGCGATTGTTTCTTTTCTCACTTTTGTTAGCTCTACACGACGAACACCTATATAATGTGGAAGTGAACATCAAAATTTAATCCTTTCGTGATTCAAATCTAGCATAAGCAAAATGCGCCTGCCCTGTCCTCGTCAGAACGTCCACAGAAATTTTCCTTATCCGAGCTAAAGACGAAAGAGGTTTGGGAAAATTTTTTTTCATGAAGTACCCAAGACTAAGGATGTAACAGAGCGAAGTGATTATCGTTGCTTAGTGCAACGTGCATGGATCAAACAGAGATCTTGTATTCTGTGAGTAGACATTAGATAGGATCCCATGCGTACCTACTTGAACAGGTTTTATGGCCGAAGGGACAAGATGAGAAAAATAACTCAGAAACTCTTAACATGAGTTGTGAAATTCGTTTCACGTTCGCGTTTTTCGCTCGTGGTCATGTTTGGGAATAACTTGACCATTTACATAACCAGGAAAATAATAGGGCAAATTAACACCTAATGTTCATGTCGTTTCAGCTTTAAATATCTCCCCCCTGAATAATCAAATTGCTTTTATGTCGACTCTTACCTTTCTGAAGGAACGCTAAGAAACAAGTCCGTTTAATTGGTTATTATCGGCTTCACGACCTTTCGTTTACCAACTGATATCAGAAAGAACATCATTTACCTCCAGTTGTATATTTTTTCATAAACTGAATTTCAGGCAGGTCACCTGTGATGGTAGACATATCCCGTTGTTTAATACATAATGTTTGAGTACAAAAAAGCGAGCGTTATATTTACTCACATAATGGTTCTATTCTAAGAAGTAGAAGATTCGTCCTCTGAAGCCTGTATATTTACCTTTCTCTTTCAACTCTCGTTTTTAATTTCAGGCAAAATGACAATTTTAAGCTATTTTAGGAAATTTCTTAGAGGAACATTTTGAATTCATCTCTGCCGATCAAGGTTTCCCGAAAAAGGACAGAGCCGTGGGCAGAATAATACTAAGAAGAGTGATAGGTTTTATTTGAGTTCTATCTGATGTAAAAAATAACCGAAAGTCAAATCGTAGAAGGAAGCGCGAGGTAGCTGGAATATGAGGGAATGGAAAAGTTCCTGTTATCTGATTCCGTTGATGTTTCCATGGTTTACGGTTTCATAAAGAGAAGAATCATGGAATCTAAAGCAAGCCTTGAAAGAAACTCGTTCCCTCCAAACAAAACGGCCACTGTAAGGTAGTTTGAGAATATTTTTGGAAAGAAAGTGGGCAAATAAAATTTGGTCTGCACCTGTTAAGTATAAAGTCATTTGATATATTGACGCATTTTACTTGTCATCTACCTTTCCAGCTGTTCTATTTATTTATTCAAATTGGCCATCACGTATTTCGTAGGAAAACCCTATAAAATGAAGGATTTCGACAGAATTACAGTTGAGGTAGCCAAGCTTGACCGAAGTCAGTTCTTCCTTTAACAGCTCCAA